CTGAATGTAATTTTGCAATAACTCGATTTATGCCATTTTTGCAAAGCGGATAAATACAATTTTAATCAAAAAATTTTAATTTAAGTTAAACCAATCAAATTGAATCATTTTATGTAAATAAACTTAGAATTAAGTTTCCCGCTCAGATAAACCGTCAATACAAACAATACAATTATGCTCTTCGAAATTATGCAATAATTTAAAAAATTTTTGTTTTTAAAGTTATGGTGCTTTATTCATTTCTTTATTACGAATAAATTCTACCATTAATTTCGATCAAAAAAGTCAAAGTTAATGAGACCATTAAAAATTTATTAATTCACGATTTTTATTGTAAAATATTCATTACAATGAAACAATTTTTTTAAGAAAACAACATTGCAAAGCATCTTGACAACAGAAACAAAAACTATAATTTTAACAATGTAAAGTAAACCTTTTTTAACGTCACTTTTCCATTTACGTAGCTCCCTATTTTCAATTATTAAAGCTTCTTCCTTTGATCTTGAAGCTTCTTCCCTTAATCTCAATAATTTATTTTCATTTTTAAGTCGTGATATTGTAGTTTCATATATAAACTTTTTCTGCAAGGTTTCTTCAGAAAGAAATTTTCGCTCTTTAATTTGTTCTCGCGAATTCTTTAATTCCTTTTTGAGAGAATGCACGGAATTATTTTTTGACTTTCGGGGCATCTAGTAATAAAAAAATGTCGTTAGAAAAGATGTTTTCTATGTACGATACTAGAAAAAAAAAGGGAATAACAAAATTTTATAAAATTAACGAAAGTTTTAAAGGGAAAATATCTGCCGGGGCGTGTACTAAATTAATAAGCACATATTAATGATCGAAAATAGGAGTTGCCAACATTAGCTCCTCCCTAACGACCAAGAATACTCGCTCACCCAGACGCAAAAGACCGGCTTCGCCCAGCGAAATTTGCCCGAGTGTCGATACCTTGACAGAGCTAAGCTCACGGTCAGAAAGTATACGTACTTTAATGGAATAAATTTTTATGAGAATATGAGGTTGGTTTGCTTTGTTGTAAATTGGTTGTTTTTCCTCGGTTTGCTTAAGTATTTATGAGAATAGACTGGTATAAGTTGGGTGTTTTTCCTCGGTTTGCTTAAGTATTCATAACGTATCATGGGAAAACCGTGTTTCCCACGTTTTTTGATTTCCTAATGAGTATATATCATGCAAGATTGTCGATCCAACTAACAATTCATAAGATCTACATAGTTGAACCAGGGATACATCTATGTACCCCCCGCCCAAAATGGAAATGATCGTCGTTGTTTATATATAAGTGCGTGAGAGTGAAAACCTGGAAATAGATTTAATTAGTGTTGGGATCCGGATGACAATTCGGATATCCGGATTAACATCTGTTTCAAAAAACATCCATCCGGATATCCTTC